CTTCTAAATACTGTGATATTGTGGAATCACAGTCTTGTTTTGTACCTGGTTGTTGGCAGGCTTGTACTTGAGGCCTGGCTTGTTGAGTACGGCTTCAATCTGGTCTTTGTTGAAGTTGGAGATGCCGATAGCTTTGACCAGCCCCGCATCCACCAGCTCTTCCATAGCCTTTAAGACACGTTACGCATTACTGTTTATGCATCTTGTTTTGCAGCCTATTTTACATGCTCATAATTGATTTAAGCCCACAGCATGTCAGTAGCAATATCAGTATGTCAGGCTTTTCTTTACACATGTAAGTCACTCAAATTACCTCCCAAGTGTCCAAGAGGTTGCTGCCATCAGAAATTAACTGGCTGTTGTCATCTAAAGGAAAAAGCTCATCCCCTGGCTGCAGTGGAAAAATTACAAACGTTAAAATCAAAACTTAAAGACTTATTAGTGTCCACAATATAAGTAGTTTTGCCAACCTAGTAGAAGTAGAAATTGTAGAGGAAATTTTAAGCAAAACCTTAATTTAGAAACATCTAACTGTTGCATAATTATCTGATGCCAAGTTTGACAGACAGATGAAAAAGGCTAAAGGGTGAGCTTGACCAGAGTCCTTCATACTGGTAGTTCTACCAACAGACAGTGGTATCCAAACCTTGGCTCCCATAGGGAAATGCATGAGGTAAAGGTCAAGGTAGTCCAGTTTTAGGTCACTGAGCGTCTTCTCGCACGCTCCCCTCACCAGAGATGGAATGTGGAAGGTGCACCATAACTGTGAAATACAATCAGATTTTGTTAAACATACTGTTAGTGTATGCCGTTTATGTGGGTGTGACCAGTGTTGAGTGGGGCATGCTGGGAGTCTGGTGGTGAAACTGTAGTAGTAGTTTGTCAAATGATACACAATGCAACAAAGCTGCATGTGTGCTAATTGTAAATAGTAAAGAGCTATGAAGCATTACAAGATGGAGGGGAACAACCCAACCCAGTTATTACATTATGTTATTATTACATGATATAATAAGGAGGTCACATGGAAGAGCATAAATTGGTGTGATTTGGTTGTGGTAATAGTTCCGAAATACAGTAAGGAATTGTTTTTCCCACTTTCCCAGTCAGAAAATGTATTTGGTGTAGTCCGATGGGCTACCTTGGCGCAAATGTCTAGTGTCTATGGGGTCAAATGCTCTAAAAGGTGGCCCATGTGGATTTATTAAACAACTTTGGCTGTTTACCATACCTTACTGACAATGAATAGTTCCTCCCTCTTTACTACTCCTTGGTCAATCATGGCACGAATTCCCGCCCCAACTTCTTCTTCATTCTGGTACACGTATGCGCCGTCAATATGCCTATAGCCAGCACTTATTGCCACTTTAACAGCCTCAGTGACCTTTCCTTGGTCTGCCTGTAGAGGTAGGGTGATACAAAAACAAGGAAATTACAGATACAGATAGGTATCTCAATAACGTGAGTGAAATATGTGTCAGTGGCAGCCATGGCTGTGATTGTGTGCTGTTCTAGCCCCATGAGTGAATGGCTATGTTCTGTTATATGAATATGAATGGTAAAAGATGAATGCAAAGGGCATGTTGCCATTGCCGGTATCACTGTTCAGGCAGAGGTCAGTGTGGAGTAAAAAGTTTAAAGGTGGGCTAGTGTTTACTCTCCTGGAAGAGATAATGTTGAGGTCAGTTTGTGAAATTAACTAGTTTATTGGACTTTAATAGAACTACTTAAATAAAAGATGTCTCTATTTTTGAACCTAGTTTGTGGGTACAGTGGATTAAAGTGGCAAGGCAGTGGATTCATAACATAAAAAAAACAGACAATACAGATAATACAGACCATAGAACCCCTCAAATGTAATATAGGTACTTAGAGAAAAGGAGTGGGACCAAGTCCATGCACCCATGCATTTTCTAAAGCTCATCTGTTTTAGGTAGAAAACATTCAGCCTTACCCTCCACGTTCCCAGACCCACAATAGGCATCTTTGCTCCATTGTTGAGTGTAACTGAAGGTATCATGTTGGATCTTCTGTCGGCGTTCTAGCAGGATCAGTCAACAGGCAGCTGTTTGTGCAGGCAGACTGTAAGTACACCGAGGGAAGAGGCAGCCCCTTACAGCCAGGGAGAGAGGTGGGGTTAATCAGCAGAAAACAGTGTGTCTGGGATTGATTAGTCACGTCTGCCCTGCACATCAAGAACGCATGAACATGGAGGCTAGAGCTGGGCTGCAGAGGGAAGAATGAATCGGCACAAACAGTGTTATTAATGTTTGTGTAGTATTATGGCTGCCTTTAGTAACCGTATTCTGAAGAGTTGAAAACGAGGTTAAAGACAATGAGTGGTTGTTTGGGTCTGCTGTCTTGTGTCACAAGGACATCAGAACAAATTAACGCAGATTTATTATGATCATTAATCCTGCATGTTATATATTTACAACTGCCTTCTGTCAGTTGTAAATATATAACATGCAGCGGATTAATATCATAAGATAAACTGCGTAATTTCGTTCTGCCATTTTTATAACATCACGTTGCTATTTGTCATTTTTGAAAGACAATTATAACATATTTTTCAACTTGCATATAAGATTAATTGCATAAAAAACACACCCTTGTTCAGTTCATACACTCAGTGGGTTTGGCTTGCGTACAACTGTACTGGTCTTGGGTAGACCAAGTAAGGCTAATGGGCAGCTTACCTGTTTGGCTAAAAGTTTTAAATAATGATTGTTGTGTAATTGATATTAATCAAATTACGATGATGTTTGGACTTCTTCTTTACTTATACTCACAGTTACATCACAGTTTGAACAGTTACAGAGCACTAGTGTTTTGGTTATTGTAAAACCACAAAAATTAAAAACAAGAAATAAACAACATTGATGTGGGGCCCTGAGTGCTCTCAAATACAGAAAACGCTAGTTGCATGTGTTTTCTTCAGGTTGGCAGGTGGTGGCTCTCAGGCTTCCAACCAGTATGTTGGCCAATAGTGTGACGGTAATCCACTTGTTGCACAGAGGCCCACTTGCTCAGTGTTACATGCCCCTAGGATACTTGTTTCTAATCTGTATATTTCTTTGATAACATTGAAGGTATTTACAACTACAATAAGGATCCTAAATCCTTAGTTGATTATCATTTTAGAGTTTAACAGTCAGAGAACAAAGCTCAAGACAGCGGCAACATATACAGGTGCAAGATGGCGGGGTTGCCGTTCTAGGTTCTTGTTTTTGATGTAAAAATCGTGACAACTGGTGCTCTTGCAGGTTTATGCCACTTCATCTGCCGCCAGAACTCCAGTCGTTACTGACCAGTCATTCAGTGTGTTGTCCAAGTGTATTTACTCGGTCGTAGGTTTTGTGCCTCAAAGACTTGGAGTTTGTGACTCCACCTTTTTCTAGCTGAGCCCACGGGCCACTTCAAAATCAGGAGAAGAATACATAGGGGGCATTACAGGAAAACTCTAATGTGACAATAACCAACAATGCTTGCGCCATGTAGCACTTGGGACTTGCCTAAAAATTAAAGCTGTTCATAGGCCTTTTAAAGAAAACAGCTCATATATGGACCTTTGACTCATATACTTAATACTATATACTGCATGTGACAATGTGATGACGTATTCATGCCCATACACGAACGGAGCGACATTTCATTTGTGGTATTTGCAAGATGATTTCTGACTTCCTCATACCAGGACTGTTCAAGGACGGAAAAAGAGGGGCAGAAAGTGTGACTCAGCAGAGTGAGGAAGTAAGCACAGGTGCTGCGAGCTGTCCAGGGCAGAGCAGAACATTGCTACACTTAGCTACCACTTGGTTAGTAATAGTTGGCATGTTAGCGTTAGCCTCCTGGCATCGTTTTGCTTCTTTTAGTCTGGCTGGGGGGGCAGCTTTCTGAGCTGAAGTAGGTAATTACAGTATTATTTGGCGCTCTCTTTTCTTTTTGCTGGCATTCCGATTTATGCAAATCCTGAATTAGCAAGCACTTCACTGCCATCATAAGCCAGTACTTGAGTTTAGATCATTAGATTCTCAGCTCAATGCTGGGCTGGCCAATTTTTTTACAATTTACCATACCAACGAGAGGAAGTTTTCAGACTACAAATAGAACTTTTTCAGGCCCACGTGAAAGTGTAATGCACAGTTGCCATTCACATTTTTCAGCAGCTGTTGCGTCATGCAAAATTTAATTCTTATGCATCTTTTTTTGAGTTTGTGGCTGGAACTGTATATTTCGATTTCTCATGTTTGATTATTTTGACTTGATGTTGCTTTAGTGTCTTGTAAGCCCCATATGGACTCCAATCCATCCTCTGTTGAATATACTCTAGGTATGAATTGTCAATTCAGATTTTATCTGGTCTCTATCTGATTAGGTTTACGGAAATGCATACAAACTTCTCTTTTTCTTTTTACTGTTCTTCCTTCCTATACAAGTAGATTTTATAACTGTCCTCTCTATGCCGTCCATAGTAACTCATCTAGATGCTTCTAACCCACGATTGTCTTTGTTTTCGTCAAGCTGGTGCTCTTCTCTTTCACAAAGGCTCTCCTAGTACACAAGCCCTGCTCTCTGTCTTAGGAAAGCACACTCTCTACTGGGGTTAACTTGAACAACAGTTGGTTATACCACGTTGTGTCTTGTCAGCAGTGTAAACTTGAAATAAACAGTTGCTGTACAACACTTGTGTCTTGTCACTTTGCAGAAAACAATGAGTTGTCAGTCAGCAGTGTTTCAGAAACACTGCTGACATGACAACTGTTTTTTACTCTCAGGCAAATGATTATATATCTGAAAAACTTGACTGACAAAGCTTGATCAAATTCCAATTGCACGGGGGAACCATGGTTACTTCTTATGCTAAACTTGGATTAGTGTTTAGTGTAACTGAAAAAATAAATTTATAGCTATAATAACTAATAATAATAATTACTTGAATTATACGGATGCATTTCTTACACTTTTCCTCTCCAGAACAAAACACAAACTCAGGCTCGGTGTAACTTTTTTATTTAATTCTCCAACTATTATGCAACCACATCAACATTTAGGCCACTCTCAGCATACAAACACACACACTCTCTCACTCACAACACACACACACACACACACACACACACACACACACACACACACACACAAAGTGCAGACATAAGACAATGACATTTATACAGCACTGTCTATGAAAGATAGGCAACATGAAGAGCAAAGGTGCTAAATATTGCACGTTATGATCAGTTCAGGAAACTTTTCAGACCGTTCAGCTTCACTGGCAGATGACCCCGGGGTTTTCTTTTAACCATCAAAACAACTGGTTACAAAAAACAGCTCAGAGGACACACACTTCGCCTTTGGCTTAGTATACCAGCATTTGTCATAGGACTGATGTTGATTTCCTACCCTGACTGAGTGAAGGTAGATGCAACTCTGTAGAAAGAAACTTAAAACGAGGTAACAGTTGATAATGGCCAACTTGCGCACATCTTCTGTGTAGCTCCACTTTCACAGCAAAATTTGATGCAAGTTCTATGAATCAACATCCGTGAAACTTAAACTGTGTAATCTTTAAGCATGTACAAGGCCAGGGTATACTATGTTTAGATGAGCAAAGCCTGGTTTTACATTAGCAAAAGATTTATGTTAAGAGCACAATAACAGTATGGCCTTAGTAGCTGCAGAATGACAAAATCTTATTGCTTCATTGCTCCGAAAAAAATCTTTTTAATTCAAATTATCTTTTAACCTTAGGCCATACCTGAGTCTAACAGATTGTACCATCATGAGAAATGAACACAAGTAAACATAATGAACACGGTAAGCTAAATAATGGGGAGGTATCTTAATCAGCATGAGACTTGTGTCGTGCTATCAGCAATAATGTGCGTGAGTTATTGCTCGGAAGCAGCCGTGTATCAGGCCGACTTGGATATTTGTTCCTAAAAGGAAATTACACACAGAAAATTACAAAAAAAAAAAAAGCCACACAAAATCATTCTGTGTTCCACCAAGTGATAAATTAGCACTCAATTCCAAAACCACAACAGAAAAAACCCAGCAGTGTCCCATAGAGCGCCGTGTTCTGCTCCTCTCAGGAGCAGTCGGTGAAGGTGGTCACCATGTTCCCCCTACGCTGGGTCACTGTCCTGCAGTGCTGCTTTCCCGAACCCTGGAATCTGCTCTCAGTCCTGGAACTGTGCGTGTTAAAGGAGAACATCTTCTCCAAGTCCTCAAACATGTCGTCAAAGAGTCCTCCGCCAAAGCCCCCCTGCTGAAACTGCCTCCTCTGTCTGTTCATAGTCTCCCGATGAGCCTGGAAGTGGCTGTCAAAGTGTCTCTTTTGGTGGGCCTGATTCTGGGAGTGGAAGTGGTGCTGGTGTCGTTGCTGCTGACCAAAATGGTCAAAGTCTTTGAAGATGTCATCAAAGTTGAAGTTAAAGGACTGGTAGTGCTCGTTGAAGTTGTAGTTGCCACCTCCCCCTCGTCCACCTCCTCCGTGGCCCTCCCCTGGTGACGGGCCGTGACCAAACTGGTCGTACTCTCGCCTCCTCTTATCGTCTGATAGCGTCTCGTAAGCTGGTAGAGACAAAGACACATTACATCACTCATTGTGCCGGTTGCTGTGACGCCGCCACTCAAACGTTTCTGAACAGGCTGAGTTCAAGCTTGAGCAATGTAGTGACGGGTTTATTATCCATGTATTATGAAGCGAGAGGGAAATGTTTGAATTGCGGAGATGAGATCAGATTAGAATGAGACAGATTGAGGTGGACATAAATTGAAAAATTATAAATGTAATCCGATTTCACTTAAGATTAAATGAGTGACCTTTCCAGTGTGATTTTCTTTACTGAGGCCCGTTAGAGAAAAGAGATTGAGCCAGTAAATACACCCAGTTGTTGTCACGATAGCATATGTCGCCTCACAACAAACAAGACGTGTGTTTATTACTGTAAGGAATGTCTCACAGGGATGAAATGAAAGGCATTCCTTTTGAAGACAGTGTCACAAATACACAATGTTATCTAATCTAACTATAACCATCTCTCAATGTACTTATATGTAATCCATAAACATATCCTTATTAAAGGTAGTTAATGCTAAAAAAAAATCTTGACTTGGGGTAAAAATCCTATGAAGTCTAAGCTGCAGGTAAAGAAGACAAGTATTTACCCACTGCCCCACATTATGGGATGACACAGTGACTCACTTACCTTCAGCTATTTCTCTGAACTTCGCCTCGGCGTCCGGGCCCTTGTTTCGGTCAGGGTGGTACTTCAGGGCGAGCTTGTGGAAGGCCTTCTTGATCTGGCGCTCAGTGGCATCTTTGGTCACCCCCAGTATGTCGTAGTAGTCTCTCTTGGCCAGGATGAACTCTGAGATGAGCAGAATGTGCACTGCGAGAAGCAACACCGACTGCGCTGTGGCCATGGCTGCTGGTTTTGGCACCTTTGAGGCTGTGAAGGGAGCAGTTTGACAGCTCGGTTAACGACGTGTCACACGCCCCTGCAGTGCGTACAGAACGGTTTCCAAAGTCATTTGGTTACCTTAACTATTCAAAGAGTAGCCAGAATGAAGGTTACATGGCGTTGCTAACTACTGTTACTTTAAAAAAAACAACTCACTGTTTTAGCTGAATAAGGGTGAAAACTTAATGAGCCCTGCTTTCAATTAGCTTTTTAATGGCACTTTAAGTGTTTCTCGTTTGCATATAAAACAGACAAAATTCGCATTACCTGGAGACGGAGTGACAAACAGCCCGAAGATACCTCTCTCTCAGCCGCCAACAGCTCCAGCTGATGCGAAACGAAAGCTAACTATTGTTGACGAGATGCATTCCTGAGCCGTAACACCACGACTCGCAACGCTATTGGTCGGTTTCTCAACACGGTGACTCAGAGCCCAGTGATTGGTGGAAACAGTGCGCACGTGGAGAACGGGGATAGTGCGAAAAGAAGCCGAATGCAAGCGAGAGTGTGACCTGCGTGTACTTCCGTCTTCGCTTTGCTCCGTTATTTTTGCATAATCGATTCGGGTGTGAGGCGTAAACTGGTTTTCAGACCTGTAAATGACATTATTTAGTGAATATGTGTACTATTCTGAATAGTCTTTGCATAAAACAACAGATGAATGGTCAAATGATATATTTGCGGAATCTTATTTTATGTCATTTCCCTCCACGTAGTTGTGTAACCGTTTATAATCACACCCGGTACGTTAACTATCTTGATAATTAAAATTTTAAAAGGAGTAGACGTCACCTCCGCTGCGAGGAGTACTACAACCCGGAAGTGACAGTTTACGAGCTGGTTTGTGTTTTCAAAAATGTTAGCCACGAACGGGAGTCTGTGAAGCGTTTTCATGCAGTTTCCCCGCAGATATGCCGCGGTACTGCGCTGTGAAAGTCTGCAGAAACCGCGGGGGAAATGCATCCAGACAAGACAACAAGAGAATAAGCTTCTATCCGTATGTGTTTGGTTTTCTTTCTGGTGTGTCTTCGAGTTGAAATGTTTGTTTACTTTAGCAGCAACTGCTTATTTTCTGTTATCCTTAGCGCCTTTAGTCAAAGATAGAGGAAGTGAGACGTTAATAGTAATAATGGCATGTCAGAAGTAGCCTCTTCTCTTCTATATGTCATGTTTACCTGTTTGTACTGGTGCCATGGGAGACAGTGGACAGTCAGAAACAATGCAACGTTCAAGTGACGCTGTGTCAAATCAGCCATTTACTTCACGTTTCCGTCTCTTTTGCCTAAAGGTTTCCGTTGCAAGACAAACCCAGGCTTCAGAAATGGGTGAACAACATGGGGCGGGAGGAGTGGACCCCGAGTCGACATCAGTACCTGTGCAGTGAGCATTTCACAGAGGACTGCTTCGATATTCGATGGGGCATCCGCTACCTGAAGAACACAGCCATACCGACCATTTTCCCCTCCACTGAGGATGTATGTATCTGTCTTGTTTTGTTATGTCTTATCATCCATCCGAGAAAGTGCCTGGTGCACATCAGAAACCAATGGAACAACATTTTCTGCAAGTGGAAGAGTGCGCTTTCACTTACAGAAAATACTAAAAGAAGTTTAGGTCCATCGAGAGTTTTTTGGTGTGCCTGTTCTTCATTATAATTTGTTTGCATTGCCTGAGATTGACCATTGCCAGTCTGATTTATATTGCTCTGCAGAGAATTTCTGATGTTTTGTCCACACAGTTCCATTATAAGCATGCAGTTTGCCTATTACAGTATTGTGCTCTTACTCTGCTGCCGTTGCATAATCCCATTTAACGAAGACACATTTTCTTTTATCTCAGGATGGTGAGAAGAAAGTTACAACCTTTAAAAGAAGCCCCAAGGCAAAGCCCAGGACCATAGACATTGACATGAAGCCCACAGGAATCGACTTCCCTCTCAGTAACAGGCCTCTCATTTTGAGCAGAACATGCAGAAAGGTCCATTTGAGTACAACAAACAGCACCGTCGCGGAGCACACAGAGGTGATATTTGAACCGCCTCTGGTGTCGGACACCGACATCTCCTGTCATTCGAATCTCTCAGAGATGCGGACTGCTGCTTGTGAGATACGGGGCGACACTGGAATACCAACAGCGTCCTGCCTCGCACTTTCCTCATGCATTGGGCCCAATTCTGAAGAGCAGGCTGACTCCACCGTGACTGTGTTGTGCTGTGAGACACTGGGCCCTTTCTCCGACGGAGAGGCAAACGTGGACTCAGCCGCCCTCCAAGCAGCTTTGGGCCAGGCTTTTAGCTTCGTCCCTGTGGAAATGGTCACAGACCAACCCACGGGCTGCTTTTTGGAGGAGACGGGACCCGCTGAGGGGGAGCACATCTCTGTTTACGAACACTCGTACTGCAGACCAGACACGGACAAAGATCAGCTTTGGAGTAAGATCTTGAGTTTGCATGCAAAGATCTTGGAGCTGGATCGCAGGGAGGAGAGCACCGTGGCCAAAATCCATGATCTGGAGACAGAGATAGCCCTCCTGAAGAGAGACGGTGCTGCTTTTAAAGAGAAGCAGAAAGTTTTAGAAGATTATATATCATCCGTTTTGCTCTGATTCTGCAAGTAATTACAAGCCATGGACTCTGTGTTTTCACTGTTACCATTCAGTCAGTTTTGCTGCTATGTTGCACATGCTCCTTTACATAAAGCACAGCAGTTAACATTGTGTCTTATAAAAACTCTATTGGTGCTCAGTGTTCTGTGACATTGCTCTCGTTTCCATGTTACAGTTGTATATTTGTTTTTGTCCACATGGTGGCACTGTGTGACCGTCTTTACAGGAAGTGGTTCAAAGCTAAACTGAAGCATTGGTTTTCTCTCTGTTGTGCATTACGAATGCATATCCAAGATTTTCTGTTGGGTGTCTACACAGTGGGATCTCTGACGTGATCGGTACCGTATGCTAACTTATTAATGGCTCTTTCGCTTTTATTACACAATGCCATCAGCGTTGTTGTGTTTTATCACCTGGTCTGTGTTTGACCGTTGCCTTTATCACACTTTCTTGGTCCATTATGTCATTTCATGGTGCAAAAGTGATTTTTTTTTTTTCAAATGAAAAGCATTTTCTAACAGTCACCATGAATCAATACCTGGATTCACAACTGCCTGTTCCCTCTTAAGCTTTGATATATGTGACTGCAACAGCGACTTCTCGCTGTGTTAATACACATTAAATCAATTCTTGTGTTGTTTGACCTTGTTCAAACAACATCATTCACACATGTTGTACATGCAGCGCCTCCAGTGTCCTAGAATCACTAGCAATCATGTCTGTGGAAGCAGAGGCTCATTATATTTCTGTCCTGTGCTTGAATGCCCGTCATTCTGTGCAATTTCCTGCAAGTCAAAAAATATTCTTCTTTACAGAAAAACCAGTGATGGATTTGCTTTGAAGTATAATAAAGTGTACCTTAATGTGTTTCTTAAAGCATGTGCCACTCTGGGGGCTGCGTTTGTGTCCACTATGTCCCCTGTGATTGTTTTAAACCCCACAATGACATGAACATGAACCAGCAGCAGGATTTATCTGCCACTTTTCCACCCTACGGCCCTGACTTGGTCATCATAGTATTTTGGCCGAGTGAGATACCTAATCTTATTTGAAGCAGCTTTCCAGAATGAAATACGCCATAGGCTGCCTCTGGACTGTAACAGGCCTGGTCACAGAATCTGTGGAACAGTGTAAAGCGGATTGTGACCATGTTAAAACATCATATTTTGAACCCACACCTGTGATGAAAGTAGGATTAAACTGTCCGAGAGATAAACACACCTGTTGTGCTGTTCATTGAGCGTAGCCTTACATGACTGTGTTACATTGAGACTTAATTAGGCTACAAAGACAGTAGACACTCATGCTGAAGGTGGAGTAAATATCTTTAATTTGACACACTTTAGATTTCCACACCAGCTGTGTAAGAGAGAGAGAGAGAGAGGGGCAGAAGGGCAGAAGAGAGGCTAAATTAGTTTTCGAATATATTACAAAATGATTGATTGCACACATGAAAGGATTTGTGAAGTGCAATTTAAAATGACTCCAGGGTGTTGCATTACATTAAAAGGTTATAGGATGACACATTTCCCTCCCTGCTGAAGAGTGACACTGGGCTCTGCTGCAGCAAGGATTAAGAGAATGGATTCTCGAAATTAGTAATGAAATGAAATAGTTGTAATCCTGTTGCTCCACCTCTTGTCAGGAAAACAAAACATCATCACAGTGCATTAGGGGACTAATGTACTGTGATGAGATCTCTTGGCATTGACCAAATCCTTTAGAGATAAGTGCAGGTCTCAAAGTACAGGGAAGCAATAAGACAAGTCTTTGTCTGGAAATGTGCAATATTACCAAAGTCATTCACAGCCGGGGAAATTCACAATCAATAAAAAAAAAAAAAAAAGGAATAAGTATTAAAATGTTAATAATAGAACGAGAGCAAGGATAAAATAAGCAAAAGATGATACAGCCGTCTTTTTATTAAAGTCCTTTTTAAAAGCATTTTCAGAAACACTTAATCTCACTGTGTTCCTCAGAGGATCTCTTTAGGAGCAGAGCAGTAACAAATTCCAACAGGTGCTTTACATCTCTGCTACCGAAACAAATGCTGCTCTACATATTGTAGGCAAATGTAATTATGTATTTATTAGATTGAAAATCTGGAATAGCTGTGTTTATTTGTGATCATGCAAAAAGGCTAAGTCATACACGCGGAAGGAAGAGATGCAGGTAGCTTGTGTGTGCAGTTAACATTATAGTTAAGAAGCATTTACAGAACATTACAAATAAGTCAAATATGTGTGGCTTTTTAATGGGTATTTTTTTAAAGGCTTTGCACATTATTTGCTCCAGAACTGAAGGAAAGACAGTGTTGTGCTCTGCGCAAGTATCGTTACACCTGGAGGAAAAGATACTTACGCTGCCATATTTTAATATGCATTAAACAAGAATATGTCTTAGCTTGTTTCACAGCTGTAAACTATTCTGCAGAAACATATACAGTATGTTTTCTTTAATGCACAATTAATGTTTTATTTGTCGGAACACTGAAAACATAGTATTAACTCACAAAATACTGTAAAATACCGAGAGAAATTCAATATAATACTGATATACAGTCAGAATTTGTAGCACAAAAGTGGTGACACAATGAATTCCAGTCCTCTTTATTATTTTTTACAAATTTGCTTGTGGCCATAGTGCTCATGAAAGAGCATTACACAACAGCTAACACAGATTGAAACAAAATCTATGCTGAACCTTTTTTGGTTTTCTGGGTGTCAGGTATCCTCATCCTGATGACCCATCCAGACTTCATCAGGCCCAGGCTTGTATCTATGCCTTGATATGAAACACCCATATAAATATTAGTTCATAAAGCTTTGGCTCTTTTTTTTTAATTTTAGCTATAGTAGAGATATATCCAAGGGTTGGTGCAGCTGTTGAGACTGGCCAGCAGCATGATGATTGCAAAAACTGGACCTGTGAGAGAAAGAGAGAAATGTGTAAACAACTGAACACTGGCTCTGTAGAATATCTCATTCGTTATTAATGTATAAGGTGGGCCCACACCACAGTGACATTAAATAGAATGTGGCAGGCATCTTTGGTCCTTTGGATGGGGACCTCCTGGACAGCATTTGGACGAACCTTTAGTGGGCGCACTGCTGGGGCTCCATGCAGACCATAACTGCACAACAAAGAATGGGCTCCAACACACCGTGTATGTCATTATAATCACAAATGTCATTTTCACAGTCTTCACCTTCGCGTTGGACACCCCATTCCTGCCCGTGCGCCCTGCCTGCAGCGCCTTTCTCTTCATGTTGAAGTAGATTGTTGTGCATATTCTTAACTGGCAATAGAGCAAAATGACGGCAGGCAGGGCATACACCGACAGGGTGATCCAGCTGATATAGATCCTGCTCCCCCACGGTTCTATAAATGTTGCCCAGCAGTCGTACTGGTTCTCCTCCACCTCCTGAAGAGAGAAGATGAAGAGCTGAGGAGAGCTGAAGGCGAGGGAGATCAGCCAAGCTGCGCCTATGGAGAGGTATCTCCTAAATGAACCCTTTAAGAAGGAAACCATCGGCTTACAAACCGCATGGTACCGGTCTATGGTCATAGCCACCATCATGTACGTGGAGGCAAACATCCCAACCACTTGCAAGTATTTTACGGACCGGCACAGGAAGTCTGTCCCTCGGAACCTGTGCGTAATTTCAATGAGAAACTGCGGTAGGACTTGGAAGAATGCGACCACCAGATCCGCCAAGCACAAGTGCAGGAGGAACAGCTGGGTCCTTGTGTTTCTTTTTCGCTTCTTCCAAAGTGTGCCTAAGAAGAAGAGATTTCCACATGTTGCGAGCACAAAAATCAAACCCAAAATCCCAGCTCTGATGAGCGCAAAATGTCCATGCACTTCTCCATCCTCATCTGGTGCCTTTTCAGAGCTGTTGCTTCTGGGATCCATTTAAGCGCGAATTCCTGATGTGTCCTGTTGGTCCCGTATCTTTAGGGTTCAATCAACGTTGCGTGTTCCAGGAGTTGCAATATTGCAGTGTTGGCGCAGATACGTCTCGACATTTTCCTTCTTTGCGCGTGTGTGAGTGACTGCGGTGGCTGTAAGAAGGGAAAGTCATCCACTTGAAGGGGTGAAGGGGGTCAGTGGCGACTGAATGTCAGTGTCAGCCTTACGAGAGACAGAAATAAACACAAGACTAGAATGCAAATAACAAATAAATTCTAAAAAAAGGTTAATCCTCAAAACCATAACCTCTAAATGCAAACTTAAATCAAAAAGCCTTTCCCCCCCTGAACTTTAATTAATCACCATTATTAATCAATAATTCATCTTCACATGGCCTTCTGAAATGGCCCTTTAACAGGTTGTAAAATATCTATATTCCGTTATTACACATCTTTACTTTACTTTTTAGATCCAAAGAATTGTTTCACTAATGTTAAGAATAGTAACAGATGCCCATTTGTGTATAAGACCACAATGATCATACTCTGTAAGTATTCAAATGTATTATTTAGTAATGTAATAGAATGTTAAATGTCAAACTGCGTGTGTAAATGATCAGCATGTCTTCATCGCAGAGGATCCCAATTTAAAGGAGACCTATTGTGCTGATTTACAGCTCTATATTTCTATTCTAGATTAACTTTGCATAATTCACAGTTTTTAAAAAACTCCTTATTTATCTTATATTGGCCCTTTATGTTGCCCTTCAGTTCATCCTCTGTCTGAAACAAGTTGTTTTAACGCCTGTCTCTTTAAGGCCTGCCATACAAAGTCCATTATCTTCTGATTGGCTAACTTCCAGACGCCTGCAACAGGGAGCAGCCAATTCTTGTGAGCACCTCCTCATCCTCTTGCTGGTGTGCTGATGGTGTATGACAGCTACAGTAACTTGAGCTTGGAAAATAGCAACATGGGGCACTGAATTTGATGAATTTAGTGTTTATCAGATCACAAGTAAGACAGGAGTTGGGTTGGAAAAATGATAGCTGCTGCCGGAGGGAAGTGTTTCTGGGTGCCAGGCCTCACTGATTACAGCACAAAAACACAACTTTGATTTTGGTGATTCTGGTTTTCCCAGTCCTCTGGCTGCTTAACTTTCTTCAGAGTTTTCTGATGAATAGAGATCTTTACTTGTTGTTGGGGGTTAGCTACCATAGCCACTAACTACTGCTAGTACTAGCTCATTTAGCCGAGCAGCTAGCCGTCCAATTAGCTGACCCTGCCTGGACTTATTCACTTCACCTGTCAGTGCTCATAATGTTATAGCGGATCGTAATGTATGACAGAAAATAAAGGAAAGCATAGAAGGTCACCTTTAATAATGCCATTCAATTTTTTGCATCTTATTTGTGAAAACAAATGGTATACTCCACTGATTTTATTGGGGGTGGGCTTGATAGTAATTGCACTATAGGAATTGTCATTACAGCCCTGACACTTAGATAATGGAGGTAGAAAAAGAAATGAAAGAGCCAGCAGAAAAGCTAGTCAAATATTGTCCTTGACTGAATACAGCTCTCCTACTGTCCCATCAGATGTTAAGGCCGATGCACTTCAGTACACAGAAAGAGTTATTTTGTATATAAAAGGAGTGGGAATGAGTAAACCCTATTAGGTGGATGTTGGATTTTGATACTTAAACTGTTGTTAAACAGTCAACCGAATAAGACGCCTGAAATATGAGTTGAAGGCTGTCAAGCAACACACATAACATGTATTTACAGCTGAAGTTGCAACGTGAAATATGAATTAAAAGAGTACTACTTCATTAGGTTTAAGGGCTTGTGAGATACATGTTTTTTGTTCTATATTTCATGCTATAGTTCCTATAATGCAACTTTCAACTTTTTTTTTTTTTTAACCCTGGTTGTCTGTTCAATGCTGGCATCTTTTAAAACTTTATACCCCCAGTTGTGTCTAATAATCATTTCAAACCCAATTCAAAACAACCCTGATGATGTCATTAGGGTAATTTTCTCAGACTTCTCCGAGTCACAGAGATCATGTTCTTTTACAGCACCACAACATTCACCATACAGAAAATTGCTGTCAAAGTATCTTTATTTTTTTCTTCTAAGTACTTTTAAATTGTGCTTAGATGCCAGGGACATGTACAGTATAATCTCCATGTTGGAGCAGTTACAACAAAAGTTGTGTGGCCGCCATTTCACTCATGACAAATGAAAGAAATTACATGATCCCTTCAGGTTATGCAGGGTGCTCATCTTACACAATAGATAGGGTGGCGTGGGCTTGAAGCAGAAAAAGATGATAGTGTTTTAGTGTTGTCACTCATCCAGCCGCTATCAGACCCTTTTGTTTTCTGCATATTGTACGTCGAAGAGCTGGAGTTCTTCCAAAGCAATAGCAACAGTATGCACAACAATATTCTGACTTTCTATTTGTTCATGCCATTATGTTGTGCCTGTATCATACAATAGTATAAATAAATATAATAATGTGCTACAATGTGCTCAACGTGCTAAGAGTGCAAAAAATGACTCTTCATGAGTCATTTTTTGCACTCTTGGCACTCTCAGTAAGAGTGACACTTTTCTTTCATTCCACCGTACTCTGACCTGAGTAGGCCAATTATCATCCTATTTCCCACACACAACCTTTAGCAATTGTTACCACCCGATGATTCTATTTCCACCCACTTTGCCTCTCAAAAGAAGTTTCTTTCAAGTGAAATTCTCAGCACAAATAAGTGTCATCGCCTCCATGCGAACTAGATCCTTTTGAAAGAGCACTTACACTGACCTTTACCAGGGCAGCCCTCTGACTGGATCTGGCAGATGGAAAATGTATTATATACCAACCTATGGCACTCCGGGCACTGAAATACCATGAACTTCAGGCCCACACAAGCTAGGTGAAGTTATACCACAAATCTTGTTGGCTTTGATTCATCTTGAGTGCCAGAAGTGAATCATTGAGAACAATAATTGACCTTTAAATAGCATTGTGGATTGGCTCTTAACTACCGTGTCACCGCACAGAGTTTAAAGTCATTATAAACAGTGGGGAGTGTGTATGAGAACTGAGTAAGAGGGACCGTTAATTGTGCACTGCATTAGTATTCATAGCACTTACATGGATTTAATTAACTCTAATATATTTTCAACATGACATGTCACTCTTTTTATGTCACAAATCACGACCCAAGACAAATGGCTTCCCCCAGTTTTAAGTCTAACTGTGTTGAATCATTGATTACTTCAAGCTAAGGACAACCGTGCCTGACATCTTGAATGCCTAACATCTCAATAAGACAGACAGATTCGGGTTTTTTGTTTTGTTTTCTGACACAAATGGTCACCAGGATATTGTAACACTGCATGTTTTATAATGTTGCAATGCACTGGTGTAACCGTGAAGTCTATTTCACTATGACAAATGAATTAACTGTTGCTCTCCATGGTGCTGAAATGCTTACAGTATGACTGCTGCTGGCTATGTTTGTGAAAGAGCAAACCCAGACCACAACCACAGATCAATACGATTATCAAATCATCATGGTCATGCATTAACACGTTATTATCTACACTGCACATATTGTGTTGTGGATTATCTGTATTTAAATTGCTTTTTTCGGAAGGGGGGGGTTTCTTCTTTGTATTTCAAAGACGTTTTGTCGACATCTAGTGGCCAAAATAAAGCATTGCACTGTAACGAAGGGCACTACGTCACCTCCTCTCCTCTTCCTGTTTATTTTCCGTCACCAGCACTCGTACATGTTATTGTACCAGCAGCACACTGAATGAAATGTTTCTGCAGCCTATCTAACCGTCTCTTGTTTACGTACGGTAAGAAGACGACAATTTTATTATTTTGCGACACTGCGTAAAAGTCGACAAACTGACTTGATTAAATTAGCCAACGTTGGGCTAACAGCGGCTAATGTAAGGAGTTTTTAAGTGTTACAACGTTGTCAGCTGTCTGTTCAGCGAGCTAGCCTTAAAACAGCACGGCCATGAGGTGTTTGTTCGACACATTATCGAGTTAACACAGACAGTTTCTTTGTCTTGGAAACATTTAATATGTGCTTCAACGTTAAAGCTAGCTTAGCTAACTGTTAAGGTCCCTGTGGTCTAGCGGTATTTAAAAGTGGGTTGATGTTTGTTTGCAGACAATATAGCCATCCTGTGGGATTTATTAATGGTATATAATAAGTTAACGTTAGTGGGTGTTGAGGTGGTTTCGGCGGTGTCTCCTGATCAAAGGTCCACGGCTCTCTGGAGCAGAGTCTTGCTCTCAATAACGTCCGCCAGCCACTTCTCCCTGAACCTGGTCCTCCCGGGTGTGTGCACCAGCCTGTTGGACTCCACCACGAAGAGCACCTCCACGGGCAGAGTTTGGGGTTTGACTTTAGATATGTTCACGGCGAAGTAGACGCTAGCTGTGCCCTGAATCGGCTTCCGCGGGGTCGGGGTACTAAAGCGGGCCCGGTAGTGGTGGAAGGTGTCGTACTCCTCCTCGGTACAGTAGAGGAAGGCCAGACTGTAAAGCCAGCAGGGCTGCATCTCCCAGGTTTCAATACACTCCCCAATCTGCTTTTTCCCCACTTCGACTGTAAAGTCTTTGGCAGCAACCCAGCTCACAGTCCTCACCGTCTCGCTGTCGGCGGAGTGATCCACCTGCTCCTTCGTGGCAGTGCGGCGGCGTCTGTCCAGAAAAGCGTTCACAAGAAGCGCTGACTCTGCTGTGAAATTCATATCTGATGAATGTCGGTCCTCTCCCATCTTGTCTTTGTAACAATCGCTATCAGACATGGCATCAGCCGGGTTTAAGTTGTTGTTGTTGCTCTAGCAGTTTCCATGGCTACCAGGATGGATAGGGTGTCAAATGGCGCCCTCTGTCGGCCCACTTTCCCTTTGCAGTGTCAAATGTTTTCTCCTATGAAAATATGTTTCTATTAAAGAATAATTTGTGCTGTGTGTCTTTTTTTTTTTTTTTTTTTTTTTTTCAGGAAAAATTGGAACAAGCAGCAAATTTCCAAAATGGGATTCTACTGAAACGAGCTGTAGCTGATGGCAGGTAGTCTGCCAGCATGCTGCATCTTTTTACACAGACATTAAGCATCATCCTTTTGCCTGAATAACTTACAGTTCTCCACTTCAGTGCAGAGTGAGCCAGCAAACGCATGTCGCGAATCAGGACCACGCTCGACAGCGTCACCAAGGCCGTAGGCAGCACAGACCTCATCTCCAAGTTTTCCCGCTTCAAGCCTGGCAGTGCCACAGTCGACAGCACCCATGTGGAAAAGGCTCTGGTCAAAGCAGAGACCTTAGCCTCTAACAACACGGCTACCGCCTCGCCACCCGAAACCACCATGAAAGAAGAAGAAGAAGGCGAGAGGAGCACAGCAGCGGAGGAGTCAGACAAGCAACGCCAGCAAGTTACAGAAAATCCGTTTGTCGCCACAAAGAAGTCCACATCCGGTTCAGCTTCTGCAACAAATGCGTCTGCTCCGAGCTCTTCCTCGAACGTGGCGAAACAAACTATGCAGCTGTTTCACCCCGCAGGTTTGTCCACTAACATGGATGAGACCTACAAAACTCTGGCTCAGCACATCAATAGTTACTTTGGTACCAGCACACCAGTGGAAGAAGGAGACAACAGGCCGCCGCCGCCGCAGCAGCACGGAGGAGGGGAGGATCCTGTTTCTGAGCCCATTCTCAGCGCTGTGCCTCAAACGACTCGCAACCACATTCCTGTTTTGTCCCCAGTGGCTGAGGCTAAAAGTATTGAAGCACCCACTACCTCTCCACCTTCTCCGTCTCCATCAGAAAAGCTTAGTCCTCCAGTAGGGACCCCCTCTTCTGACATCCCTGCACCTGAAAGTGCAGCTCAGTCCATTCCCGCGCCTGCTACCTCCCCTAAAAAAGGCTTCACCCACTATCTTTCCTACCCTCGGCCCAGCGTTCAGGCGTTTGTTGGCAGCTACATCGCACCCCTGGTCCCCAAATTCAGGGGTGACTCCAAAAGCATCGCAGCTGAAAAAGAGAAGTCTTCGGCAGTCGCTGTGGAAGAGCCCGCTGTGGACACGGCAGGAGAGAAGACAGAGAGTGAAGAGGAGAAAGTGAAACGACAGCTATTAAGTCAAAGAGAGAAGGTAAGGTGCTCAGACTAATGTTGAACGCATCAGTGTTGTGGTAGATAGTTTGAGCTTTTTAACTATTGATGGCTTCAAATTTGTTTAAATTATCTTATGTATGTACCCAACCAAACCAGACAAAAAGCTTTAACAAGGATATTATATATATATTGTCCTAATGTTTTGTACACGGTGTGTATTTGTCATACAGATAATAGCCAGGGTGAGTGTAGACAACAGGACCAGAGCCCTAGTTAAAGGCCTGCAGAGAGTCACTGATGTCAAGCTCCTCACCACTCGAGTGGAGGAGCTCAGCTGTCATCTCCTGGAGTTCCCAGAGACGCGAGGAGTAGCTGTAAAGGTCAGTGTGCATCTTTTCTTTATTTTTATTTTTTATGTATGCCGCAGTTCACTTTAATGTCAGATGCACAGTCCTACATGTAAGTGTGTGTGTTACATTTTTTTTTGTAAGTGGGACATTTAAGCAGTCAGTATGTTTGTGTGTAATTGTGACCTTTTTAGGAGAGAGTGCTGCCCTGCCTGCTGCGTTTGCGCCAGGCCAGAGACCTTCCTCTTCAGTCTGCTGTGAGAGAAGCACTGGCCCTGGTTGGCTACACCGAACCGGTCAAAGGCAGAGGAATTCGGGTTCTGGCCATAGATGGAGGCGGGACAAGGTAAAGCTATTTCGGGGGGGAAACAAAACGCCAAAAAATCCAGATAAAACCAAGTCGCAATACAGGCTCCATTGCTTGATTGACAAGTGAGAAATGATGGGAACTAATATGGTTTATTTTACACTACAGAGAAATATAAAGTAACAGCTTTCGTTGCAGGCCAGCTGTCAAATATAAGAGCTGCATGTTTTCAGTCCCGGTTTGTAAAGCTTGTGACTTTGTTCCAGGGGACTGCTGGCTCTGCAGACTCTCCATAAACTTCAGAATCTGACAGGCAAACGTATCCACCAACTGTTCGACTACATCTGTGGAGTCAGCACAGGTACGTTGTCATCGCTCAACTCAACTCAGCTTTATTTATATAGCAGCTTTCATACAAACATGCAGCCCACACTTATTCTCTCTCTGCTTCAGGTGCCATTTTGGCCTTCATGCTGGGAATTTTCCAGATCCCTTTAGAGGAGTGCGAGGAGATGTACAGGAAGCTGGGAGCGGACGTCTTCAAGCAGAACGTCATTGTTGGAACTGTCAAAATGGGCTGGAGCCATGCTTTCTATGACAGCGAAATATGGGAAAACATCCTCAAGTTAGTCTGCAGGACTCCCTCCTTTTTTCTGTTCCTTCACAACTCTCTTCCATCCTTGATTACAAAGACACTGAGGTAGTCTATTTTGTCTGTGTTTTTAATCAGTTTTTGCATTTTCTTTAGGGAAAGGATGGGGGAGGGGCATATGATTGAGAGTGCCAGGGACCCAAACTGCCCTAAAGTATGTCGCATATCTTTTCAGCTCTACACTGTTTCTACACATGTCAATTTTATTTGAGGATGTTTGTGTATTTTTATTTATTTTTTACTCTTTTTTTTACTTTACTGTCCACTGCGCAGCAAAACACTTAAATTGTGTTTAAAATACACAAAAATATCAGCTTGCTGAGGTGCCTGAAAAATAGAGATGACTTTGCATGTTCCTCTGTAAATATGCCCTTTTGTATGTCCACCAGGTGTCAGCAGTGAGCGCCATTGTGAACAGGGGTTTACCTCTGAAGGCCTTCGTGTTCAGAAACTACAGACTAATGCCAGGAGTGAGATCCCACTACCTTGGAGACTGCAAACACAAAATGTGGCAGGCTATCAGGGCCTCGTCTGCCGCCCCGGGCTACTTCAAGGAATATGTCCTGGGAAAAGACCTCCATCAGGTACAACATGGAACATGGAGAGAGATGGGAGATGCAGAAGGAGGTTAACAATGCCACAGATTGCAGAATAGATGAAAAGCACTGTGGCTTATAATACATTACCTTTAAAAGGTGTGCTAAACCAAAACAATGATAAAATATAAAACACAAAAAATAGATTTCTTCTTCTATCTTCAAAACCCTGAATTGATTCATTTATTTTATACAGACTGGTTTCCCTGGACTACCGCAGTGTTAAACCATATCAATTTAATTTTCAGGCATAAAACATCTGAGTTAGGTTTTATTTTGTCCATGATCAATAATGTTCTGATATTGATTTTCTTTCAAATTTGCATCAACAGTGGTGCATATCGCCGCAGCGATGTCACATCTCTCAAAGCTCTAGTTCAGTGTGAGAGAGTCATTTCCTTGAAACCATACCAATCAATACACTTCACTGTGGCGCTGCATTGCCTAGTGCCAAGGACGGAAGCACTGAGCATTACACTGCACTCTGTGTGCGTGTGTGTGTATACATCAAGGGTATGTGTGTAGATTTGTTTTATTTTTTCAAACCTGTAACCTTGAAGGCGGTCCCTTAATTGATTCATTCTCTCTTCTGGCTGTCAAGAGTCAGAGAGAGAGAGAAAGTGAAGAGCATGAAATGGAAGTAGAGAGACAGTCCTTGGACCCGGTCTGTGCCCCCTAAGCCTCCTTCTTCTTATGGCTTATCCAATAGGGCTTAAATAAATTCTAAAAAATATTAGGTTCAAGAATGGTAGATTGGGTTTAAGTAAGTGGTAATTGAAGGAAAATCTGGCTTTTAAGGCATCTGATAAGTGACTACAGTTTATGTAACATGTATTTTACTTTCTATTACTACTACTCATCTTTTATATTGCTCTATCCCAGAGCACCTTTAATGTGTTATTTTATGAAGTTTGATTATTAGGCCAGATATCTTTAGATGGTCTTTATGAGCAGCAATTATGCTCAAGGCTTAGCTTAATTTTGATAACCTACTTAGGCTAAATTAGCCTTGTCCCTGTTTCCAACAAGTATTTCTCTTCCCCTGCCATTTCCTAATGCAAGAGTCTCGGTAGCCAGCCCTTTCCAATGTTTTAGTCAATAACAGATACTTATCTCCAATAGCACTCTGCATGTTTACTGATCATATCCTTGGTTCTCCTCCTTTGAATTAAAAAAGGCCTGCTAGTTCTTCGCCTGAGCCCAAGCTTTTCCAGCTACTAATTAAGCAAAGAATCAGCTATAACGGAAACCTCTTACCCGGAAAACCTGTGATGTGTGCTCGTTTTGCTACTAATGTATTAACAATGCAGAATTTCCATTTATTTCCAAGTATCTGTTTGTTTTCCCATGGACTCTGGGATGACAGCAGGGATGGAAAGATGGAGAGTGAATGAGTGGTGTATGTATGTGCGCGTGTGTTGTTCTCTACATTCCTCTTGGAGCTGCATAGTGTTTCATCGACAGTTGAGCTACCGTTGCCACCCACCGGTCTCACTCCTACTCTAGTTTTCAGCACTAGCGGTGGTATTTCTCAGGAAAAGTCTGCCATTGCAGAGCACCAGAAATACATATATACACACAGATATATAGACGTGGCGATGGATGCATTCACAGACTCAACATAGATCAAATCTAGATATTTCATCCTAAGTTTTTTTTATTTATTTATTTATTTATTTTTTCCAGTTCATTAATTTTATTTATAGCAATATCCAGTTGTTTGCCTGTGTGATGACGCTGCACTTTAGCAGCTTTTTGTTGTGATTAGGTGCAGGCTGGATGTCATTCAGTTAGGTGAGACCTCGGGGTGAGAGGTGGAGAGTCAGATCTGAGGAGCAGCTGCATAATTAACCTGCTGTCTCAAGAGTGTGAACTGTGTTCCACTGTTTCAATAGCTTACACTTGAGGATAAACCGCTTTATAATCAGGCTAAGTGATATGTTTTAGGCCGTATTGTTCCATAATGATACCAGAGCAGCAGAGTGATTGATTGATAGTTATTTAAATCAAAATCCTGGACAAGGACATTAAAGTTGTCTATTTTTTTTAAATTAGTTAGGTGAAGAAAAAAAGGTTTAATTCTAGGTACATACGACTTGTTTGTTTGTTTCTGCATTGGTTGTCGTTGACTGCCATTTTCTGATTGCTTTATCCCAGAAGAAGGAGAGGATTTAAGCTTTAAGCTTTTTGGATACTTTCCCACCACCCACCCCCTTTAGAAGCATGGAAATGACCTTTACTCCCGCTCTGCTGGGTAAGACCGGACCTCTTGTGTGCCACACTCGCCTCTATTAATCCAAGCCAAAATCACTTCAGTGGCTGGATAGGGTCCAAAACTGGACTTGGGGAAAGACTGAGTGTTTAACGCTAAATTGGTCTAGGCATCCATTCAGCTTGATTGTCCTCTTTCTCTCATTGTTGGCTTCATTTAGATCAGCAACTCTTTCATGAATCCAGTAACATTATTTAGTGAAAAAGAGACTAATGAAAAAGCAAGCACATCATTTGTGATTAGCTTCTAAATGAATTCAGTCGAGATTAGAATACTGAAATACAATATGCTGTATCAATTTAGAGTAATGCAGCAATTAGACTCTTTATATAGCTAAATTCCAGACTAAATTACTCATGAAAATTACTTATTTTAGCTGCGGATAGCTGCTGGAAAGACAGCCTTTCCTACTTGTTTACTTTTGAATGAACAGGGTTGTTTGCCAGCGCAGCACATCTCTGGCCAGGGAGCTTCTTTTCCTCCAGCCTAAAGCTGTGTAGCTCTGGGACAGCTTGTTCACTTCACCTCATTTGTCCCCTACAGGCTGTCACAACAAATATATTAAACCTCGAGGCACATTGTATACATACAAAGTGTCCTATTTGTGCAGTAACCTTGGGTAGTAAGCATATTTGACTGATGAAATGCTGAAGGTGACTTAACAGTTTTGTGCTTGTTGGTTTAAAAGGCTAATTTTCTGCTCTGGCAATATGACATAAACATGCTTCTTACACAGAAACATGGCTGACAGATTTTAATTTGATCTGACTCGGTTCTTGTCTTGTAGATGCAGTATTAAAACAGTCACACTCACACACACACATCATTGACTTCCTTCCTTACAGTTGGGTTACTGTAGGGTAATTGGCAGTCTTCTTTCATTTTATTCATGGTTCTCTTTCCCGTTATCCCTTTTCCCTTCCCATCTGTCTCCTCCTTCAGGATGGAGGACTCCTAATCAACAACCCCACAGCATTGGCCATCCACGAGTGTAAAAGTCTGTGGCCTAACACGCCACTGCAGTGCGTGTTGTCTCTCGGCACTGGGCGGTACGAGACGGCGGGCAAGAACAGCACGACCTACACGAGCCTCAAGGCCAAGCTCACCAACGTCATCAGCAGTGCCACCGATACAGAGGGTAAGACCACACAAAATGTTGCTTGTATGTGTTTGGCGTCTCACACAGTTATTTATAAACCCCAAATTAGAGGTATGTGGTCACAGCCAGTGTTGTTTTGCAAAATTTCCTGTGACTAACTGCTATCCAACTAATAGCTAATGGCTCCGGCCTCCATCCTTATTTCAGAGGTGCACACCATGCTGGACGCTCTCCTGCCCCCCGACACCTACTTCCGCTTCAACCCCTACATGAGCGAGGACATCCCGCTAAACGAGAACCGCACGGAGAAGCTGAACTTCCTCAAGAGCGAGGGGGAGCGCTACTTGGAGCGCAACGAGGCCAAGCTGAGAAAGGCGGCTAGCGTGCTGGGCCAGGAGAAGAGCACCATCCAGAGACTGGCTGAGTGGGGCAAGCTCAAGGCCGACATGTACGAAGGTCTCCCCTTCGTCTCCAAGCTGTAGTCACTGGTCTGGCAACAGTGTGACGACCAGAGAGAGTTTAAGGTAAGAGGACACGGAGTGTAAAGACTGTCATAACTGATTGTGACTAACTTAACTGTTGAAAAGGAAAAGGGAGCAAACTGGACACTTTTTTTAAGCATCCAGAGAGGAATTTTGGAGTAAAAAAACAAATAATGCACTTGGTTTGATTATGTACCTAACCCTAAAGGACTGTTTGAGAAATTAAAACTATGATTATTTATTAAAAAAGACAATACAGTAAATAATAGTGTAGAATTACAAATGTGATGTAATTTGTTCTTTGTGGCACAGAATGAGTCTATGATGGAGACAGAATAATATTAATTCACTAGACTCAGACAGCGGAAATACTGTATGTGTACGGAAGTTCATTAATATATGAATTATAAGCTGGCTAAAAGAGTTGGTTGGATGAATGCACAAAAACAGTAATGCGGCACCATGTTATGGAACATTAATGGTTATATAATAACTAGTTATTTTGTAAAGAAATAATGTAAGACTGACTGTAAGACTTGTCAGTAACTTGAATATATTAAAATGAATACGTGATTGCACAATGAGAATATAAACTTGACTGCCTATTTCTAACACTGTACAGAAGAAAGACCTCATGCACTTTGTAAAATGTCATTCTTAACCAAGAAAATGTAGATAGTATTTGAAGTAATTCTGAGTTACTTGAGTGCTCTTGCAAGAATTTAAAAATATGACAAAATAAATACTGCTGATGCTTAAATTTCCTTTCCTGTATTGGCACATACAGCCACCCTGACATCCCTTCTGACACTAATGACAAAGTATCAGAATGTGTGTTTTCCTATTGGTAACAAAGCATGTTCTCCATTGTGGCCCAGTATTCAGTATGAATCTTTTGCCTTTAACCTCACTCAAGCCTGAAATCCTTAGCCGTGGCCATTGTTGTCTCACACTTTATAGATTTGACACACTTTTTACATTGTCAGACTCCTAATTGCCCTGATACCCCCCCCTCCCCCTGCTTTGTGGAATGCTAAAAAATGTAATGAAAAAATAAAACTTGGTGAAATAAATTCTGTTCTGTTTTGAGCGATCTACTATTTCTTTTAAAGTCTGAGTGGGTTGGGAGTATATGCCACATGTGTTGTTTGATGTTACTCATGTTTATCTGCTTGTCCATTCTGCTGCCACACACACATCACAAAGAGCCCCACAATAGAGTTGTCACAAAGGAATGCCATGCGTCTTCCTATGATGAATTGGTTTTTTTTTTCCAATTGCACACATTGATTTTCTGCTTTTATTGTTTTGATCCCATTGAAGATTCACTGAAATTCCACAGCGCCATTCCTCCCAGTCAAACTGACGTTACCCCAATCAACGTGAACAATACGCCACGAGGAGGTATACCTCCAAACCTCCACAACAATGACGGATGACAGATGGGAATAATGTGTCAATATTTCACTTGACTGAGGCCTCACTCCTGGTTTCAAACTGTCAAAGTTGTAACAGGCTTCGACTGATAGATTGATGGTCCTTTTTTTTTTTTTTTAACAATACCAGCTTCACCATGGCAAACTTTACCCAAACGCTGAGGTCTGATTTATGCCTGTGTTGCCTACACTTGGACTTTTCAGTAGGTAAAAACTGAGACTGCGGTGAAAGATCCTACAAGAGTGTCTATGTTGACAGCTCTCGATATGGCAGAAAATGTGTTTCTGAGACAAATATATACATGGAAAACTAAGGACATCATAGGAGGCTGATGGGATGTTGGATTAATATACATTTTACAGTTTAGGTGCATGAAAATTATAAGGACTTTCTCTATGAAAACCAACCAACAGTGTCGTAATTCAAAGCATGTGTTCCCGATGCACAGCAAAAAAGTCCACAAGAAAGGAAATTGATATCCCTAAAAAGTCAGGGTACATTGCGTTATTTAGGTACATAAGTTAAATGATTAAAAACAAGACAATTTGGTTGACAAAATCTATTTTTCAATGCTTAATCAATGAGATAGTTTTGGCATATGAAGATGGGTGATTCTATAATGAATGCTTCCAAACGCAGGCATGTCAAGTTGAAATTGACTAGATACCCCATGGAGTAAACCGTTTAAAGATAAAGGGCCAGTAATGGAGCTACTGTATAGAGAGCAATGCACCTCTGCTGATCTGAAAACTTTTAATACTGAGGTGTAATTGTTGCTGTGAAATTCCACTGCCAAACACAGCACAAAACATTATTTAAGCCTCCCATCCAGCTGCGTGTGGAGACTGAGTGTCTCTGACGAGCACCGTCAAGACAGACGAATGAGGTGAACGTGAGATTAACACTCTCAGGATGTTCATCCTGTTGGCAATTTCCTTGAGTCGGAAAGGGCCAAAGTGCCAAGGTAAAGTGAAGTCTGCCAGGCTGTGTTTACATGAAGGAGTGGGATACACACACACACACACCACCACACAACACAACCACCACATTATGATATTATATATATCATACCACTGTTTATTAGGATACCTTTTGTGGCATAGCGAGTCCGTCTTTTTCCTCTCTCTCTCCCTCCTTCCTCCTCCTCCTCCTAAGCAGAATGTGAGTTGTTGTCTGATGGTGGTTTCTAAACTTATATTCCCCCTCTTGGTTTTCATCTTTCAATGTATGTGTGCCCAGTTTGCCTAAAATTGTCCTGATGCTGAGAAGTTGTTACACAACTCCACCTCTTTTATTTTGATGCTAACATGGTGTGTTTTACCTTGTGTATGTGAGCTCAGCTTGAAATACTCCATACAGAGAAGAAACTGAACGCTGCTCACTCTCAGTGTTGGCCACCAACAGTCAAATATCTCGGGCCCCTTTGCTCTTTTCACCTCCCCACCTCCGCACCCTCCCGCACGCGCCTCACCCGCGGGATTCCACTTTCAGATCAACGTATCGCAGCAGAATATATAGAGTAGTTTCCTTGGTAGGCAGGATGTTGTAACACGTATTCTTATAAATAAGAACACGCGTAGTGGCACTATGTGAGTGAGCAAGTTGTGTGTGAAACAAAGTTATCTATGTAATCGCGTGTGTTATGGTGTCAATGTGTCGTCGCAAGAAGCTGCCAGCTTGCATCTGATAGCAATAAAAAGAAAATTAAATCGAGCTGATAGCATGATATTGGTTACTTCTGTACTCAATTACAGACTTAGATGACGTATGCGTGATTCTGTGAAGAAAACGTGATGTAGAAAATAAGAGACAATCGAATCCTGGAGGTGATGTAATGTGGTGTATGTTACAGCGTTCGCGCGCTGGAGTAGGAAATTCGCAGGAAGAAGGAGATGGGCATCCCATCTTCATCTGAAGGGACAAAATTACCAAAGGCTGAAGTTCCAGTATATAGTCACCTTCTGGTTTTGCTTCCGCTCATATACTTGTTCATTCAGGATATGTATGGAAAGAAGCTGCTTTGATCAGTTGCACGAAGCTGCGTACGCCAGTTGTCAGTATGAGCGCGTCTGTGACCAGACGTTAGAGGTGTTTGTGTAAACGATATGGAACACGAGTATGGAGAACGGGATTGTAGCTGTCAATATGAGCATTGTTTTCGCGAGTGGGCCGTATTGATCGTGCGCACTGGTCGTTAAGCACGGACGCCAGACGAGACGGTGATGGTGCTCCGAAGTGGTAGAACCGAAGTACTGAGGTTGGAAGTTGTGTTGAAGGTGATTTTACACGATAGTGTGATGATAAGATGTCTCCGCTCGCAAAGGTATATTGCAAGAATAAATGGAACAATAAATTGTCTGTCAATCTGGGTTTGTTTTGTGCTGCAAAACGAAACTATTAATTACCACATTCAAATCTTAAAAATACCTCTACTGCTATAGTACTGGAGCGTTCAAGTGTCAACATACACTTATATAAGTCACAATACTGACGAGGTTGACTTCAATACTATTCGTGATGTTACGTACCATCACGCTAAGTACCACCGGCCTGTAAAATTGTTTCACATGACACAGAGAAGCGCGTTTCCACTTTCAGCAGATGAATGTGAAAACAGCCCTCTTTAGTGTCTCTGCACATACTGCATTCTGCACAGGAAGCTCAAACACCCGACTCTAGGAAACAAGAAGAATCATTACGGCTCGAGCTCGATTTTTTTGTTTTGTAAGTGCATTATGGACTTATTGGAAGAGCAGGAGGAGGGGAGAGGGAGACCCTCCCCGCCCCGCCGCCCCACGGCCACAGCACCGCGCACCCGCCAACACCCGACGCGTGGTAATCGTAAGATGAGGAATAGCTTTGAAAAGGACCCTGAGGAAATTTCACCACGACGATATGGTCGTGGTAAGTAGTTGGGGAGGACCGGGGGGGGAGGACTCGGTCCCTGGTATGGATGATCTTCATTGGAAAATAAGAAGACTCGGCCCAGAGATAGTTGACCACCAGTGCGCGTGTGGTCGTGGAGATCGTTGTGCCAGTATGGTAG